CTGTGATGAAAGATTTGGTCTGTATGTAATATATTTTATTACTAAATGAGGACAACAGTCCCTCTAAACTGATGTTGCCATTTAAAAAATTTTTTTAAATTGTTTTGAATTAAAAGTTTTAGGCATTAAGATTATTGGGTTAAAAAGTGTTACAGACATCGTGATCCTTTCTATTTTCCCTTTAGAAATTAACAAATTTACTGTTTATTAAGTAGAACAGAGGGCTTAGGAGAGCACTTTATAAACAAAAGCATAGGTGTTTCCTGTGTTATAAGCACATTTAGCAGTGAGATGATTTTGCTTCTCCACGGAGTCCTTTTTTTTTTTTTGAGACAGAGTTTTACTCTTGTTACCCAGGCTGGAGTGCAATGGCGTGATCTCGGCTCACCACAATCTCCACCTCCTGCGTTCAGGCAATTCTCCTGCCTCAGCCTCCTGAGTAGCTGGGATTACAGGCACGTGCCACCATGCCCAGCTAATTTTTTTTTTTTTTTTTTTTTTTTGTATTTTTAGTAGAGACGGGGTTTCACCTTGTTGACCAGGATGGTCTCGATCTCTTGACCTCGTGATCCACCCGCCTCAGCCTCCCAAAGTGCTGGGATTACAGGCGTGAGCCACCGCGCCTGTTCACGGAGTACTTTTTATATATCAATTGGTAAAAGGCAATGTATAGGTAATAGATAATTTCTCAAGTTTTAGAATTTGAGGTTTTTGTTTTGTTTTGTTTTGAGATGGAGTCTTACTCTGTCGCCAGACTGGAGTGCAGTGGCTCGATCTCGGCTCGCTGCAAACTCTGCCTCCCGGGTTCAGGTGATTCTCCTGCCTCAGCCTCCTGAGTAGCTGGGACTGCAGGCGTGCACCACCACGCCCAGCTAATTTTTGTATTTATAATATAGACGTTTTACCACATTGGCCAGGCTGGTTTTGACCTTAAGTCATCTTTCTGCCTTGGCCTCCCAAGGTGCTGAGATTACAGGCATGAGCCACCATGCCCAGTTAAGATGTTAATCTATAGTTGTAGTAAAGATTTAAATTACTTGAAGCATAGGGATAATTTTTTTATGTTTTATTTTCTAATTGTCATGGTAGGTCAAGTCATATTAAACCCAAGATAGGATATAGAGTTTTAATTTATTGGCTTTTAACAATTTGCATAGTTTAGGAGATACTAGGGTGATTGGTTGAAAAATTCATCAATGTGTCAATAAATTTTTCACCCCTTTAGATATATGCTGAAAATATTTAGCATGAGTTGTATTTTAATATATAATTTTCAGTTTTTTTCAAATTGAGATATAAAAACTGAGGCATTTTAAATATCTTTGCTATAATAAAAATATTTTAGAAATATTAATTGATGCTGCTTTTTACACAGGATAACACAAAGTTATACCTCAATTTACTTGAAATGGAATACAGTGGTGACCTCAAACAAAATGAAGAAAATATCCTAAGTTGTTTTGACAAAGCTGTACATGGTTCATTACCTATTAAAATGAGAATCACATTTTCTCAGAGAAAAGTGGAATTTCTCGAAGATTTTGGTTCCGATGTCAATAAGTAAGATCTTAATTATATTATCTATTTGAATGATAAATGAGCATTGATATTTTTGGATGGGGATTTGATGATTAGTACACATTAATACATTGCTAAATTTTAAAATGTTCACTTAGTTTATTTTTTCCTCATATATAGGGGGATAAATTTAGTTTTGTAAATGTGTATGTACTTGACAGGAAGAGGCATATGTTTGTTTTTCTTTCCAAAATTTTTCCCAATTTTAGAGTGTCAATTTAAACCATGATTGAATGAGAGAAGGCAGCAAGGAGCAATCCTGTGAAAAGAGAAATGGGCTAAGGATTGAATCCTGCAACCCAAGCATTTAATATATAGGTCATTAAGGATGGATGGGACTAATTTCTAGTAGGAGTGCTATTTTCTGAGATTGGAGATGAGAATGGATATGGTCCCACAGAACATGCCTACTGGCCTCATCATCTTTCATTGTAAAAGGCTGAAAGTTGAGGATGTTCAAAGGGAATGCTCCTGTGCGTTTTAGTTTACTAAGAGTACAAATACTGGCTAGATCATTTCTGAGGTTCCAGTCTTACCTGATTCAAGTAAGGAAATATACCAGTCCCTTTTAGGAATGTGCCTTCTCTGATTATTCTCATTTAGATTTCTGTTGAAACCATTGTAGATAAACTAATTATTAGTTGTATCTGAATGTTTGTATATGTATGTATATAATTTTTATGGCTGTGTAAAATTTCAGTGAAACGAGTATAACAGCTAATGTTTTTGTTAGTGTATTTTAATATATTAATGTATTATTCGTGTGCTTGGCATGATGCTAAATGTTTTATATTAGCTACCTTACAGAAAATTTATAGCAGTAGAATGAAGGTAAGGGTTCTATTCTCCTAACAGATGAGAGGATTTAAGAAAGATGAGACATTTTTTCTGAGGTCATGTAGCTATTACTACATTGTGGAGCTAGGACTGAACCTACTTCAGAGTTTCTGCTCTTAACTGCTTGTGTGCTGTGTATTTATTGTCTTATATTTATACTGAAGAAGGTAGAAGATACGCAATTTTAGCTTCTAGTCAAGTTAAATGATATGAGTAAAAAAGGAAGTAAGTGTATCAGGTAGCAAATAACTGCTGAGATGGCTGTGATCTCTGTGTGGATTAGAATGGATTTGTCATGCTTCATAGAGGAGGTTGGGCTTCATTTAGCTGTTACTGGATTCTGACAAGCTGAGCAGAGGACATAGTGGAGGAAGCAAGTTGAAGCTCATATAAAAGTAACATCTGCTTGATTGCAGGTTTTTTTGAAGTAGTGGAAGTATGATCTTGACTGCGTTGTGCATTGAAAGCTAGACTGAATTGAGAGCACATAGAGTAGGCAGTTGACAGTAGCTAGCTATTGGAATCTTGACCAGTGAAATTAAATGACATTATTTTAATTTGGCAAAAAATAGGCAGACAAATTGGAGATTCAACATAAGTGTGTTATTTAATCCATTGTAAGTATAGGAAATGGGGTGTCTGAGTATCAGGACTATGATTTTAGTAGTAGAAATTTTGAAAATAAAGGAGCCACTTAGAAATTTACTCGGGCAGTTTCCAAAGTAAAAAAAAAACTTTAAGTATTAAATAATAGGTTAGTTTTTGTTCATTCCAGAGGATTTTTTTTCCTTCCCTTTCAGGCTTCTGAATGCTTATGATGAACATCAGACACTCTTAAAAGAACAGGATTCTTTAAAAAGGAAAGCAGAAAATGGGTATGTAAGTTTTTGCTAAATTAAGAAGGGGTATTTCATAATGGAAATGCCTTCAAAGACAAATGTTTTTAAGTGTTATTTTTATGTTGTAATTTACATACTTTATTTTCATGATTTGAAAAAGTCATGAGTGGTTCAAAATTTCAGCAAAACAAACAGATAACATTCATCTATTCGTTAAAGTTCTTATCTGTGGGAGTTTTGAAAGTTTCCATTTTGACATTTTATATAGATCAGAAGAACCAGAGGAAAAGAAAGCACATACAGAAGATACAACTTCATCATCTACACAGATGATTGATGGTGATTTACAGGCAAATCAAGCTGTATATAATTATAGTGCCTGGTATCAAGTGAGTCTGCATAATTATAATTCTTTGTTCATAGATGTTATTAGCATAAATTAGGATAGTTTCTTTTTTTAGAAAACGTTTTTTTCCCAATTCATTAATACATTCTTTGGTGATGAAGTACTAGAATTTTAGCAGTGAACATTTGTTTTCTTAAACATACCTGCTTTAATTATACTTTTTAAAATTATACTTTAATTATATATACTTTAATTATATATACTTTAATTATACTTTTTAAAAATTATACTTTAATTATACAACTGTGGAACTGCCACAGTTGTAATCTGCTAACATATACTTACTTTTTCCTTTCAGTACAATTATCAGAATCCTTGGAATTATGGACAGTATTATCCTCCCCCTCCAACCTGATGGGAATATAAATTTCAAATTGAGTGTGTGAAAAATATGAAATTATTATTTTTTTTAATGAGGGATGTAAACAGTATAAGCTTGTTGTATTTGATAACTTGTCTTCCTTGTTTCTGTGTAACACGATTTGTTTAGTAATAGAGGAAAAATGTCAATTAGTAGCTTACCACAGATACTATTTCCTACCATTTATAAAATTTACTTTTTATTGAAGAACTATTTTTTGATTTTTGCATTAAGTGGTCTAGAATTCTTTTGCAATGCATTTGCAACAGAATTTTGTAGCCTTAAGGGGTAGGAAGAAAAGCCTGACTGCAAATCATGTCAGTGTAGTACAAAATTCTGAAAACACATAAGGGCTGGTTATTAAGGATTTACCTCCTTTTTTTAAAAAAAAAAGGATTTTTAACCTTTGCTGACAGGTTTTGTCTGTTTCAGTTATACTTGTGAACTGTGATCTAACTGCAGAAAGGATACATTATTAAAATTCTATGCCTTGGAATAGAGATTATAAATGAGAAAATGGAATGTTTGCATCCCTTTAAAAAATGAAAATCATATCAAAAATATGTTGTTTCAGGAGACTTTGTATTTAGAATATTCATGTAAAACTTCTGAACAAGCTTTCATTTTGATCAAACTGATCATCTTCATTTTTGTAATAAAACTGAAGACTCATCCAGTAATTGTTTATGAATTTATTTTGGGGGAATAACTTAGTAATATTAATTTTATGTTTATCTTTATTAGTGGCTCATAGGTTTTTGAAGTACACTTCTCCTAAATTAAGGTATTATCTTCCTGCCACGATTTTTTAGATCTTACAGCATTTTGTTTCCCCTCAAGCCCTATGCTTTTGCCTTATTATACAGGCAATCTGTCCAGATTATTTTATTGGGAGTTACTCCCTGGTTTGATGAGGTCCGTAGTTTCAGTTACTTAATCAGAAAAATTAATATATGAACACCAAACAAATCAGTCAAAACAAGACACTGGATAAATTTTTATTGAGCCACTTAGTTTACAACATGAGGTAAAAGGAGTTTTCCTTGACCAGTATTTTACATAGCTGTAGGGAAGGTATTTTAGACTTCAGGGATTCATAAGGGATTACATCTCTCAAAAGTTGGGATCAAGTAAACATTTTATTAACTCCTTGAATTTTCCAGTTGACTCTTCCCTTAACAATAGTAACACGTTCTAACTAGTTATGTAAGTTTCTTGAAGGCCAAGTTTTGTCATTGTTGCTGATAGCCTTAGAGCTGAGGCAATGCTATTTCAATCAATATCCACTAGTTCCACTTCAAAAACGAGTTTTGCATTTGGTGGAATTCTGTTGAAGAAGTCAAGGTACATTTGATAAAAAGTGCCTCTCCCCCACCCTGAAAACCTTAGTGTAAAATTACAGTTATGTATTCTGGATATTAGTAATTAATCCCAAAGGGAAAAACTTTGAAGCTGTTTCAGAGGCTAATACATAACTAACTTAGAGGTTCCTAAAAGTTTTTTTTTTTTTTTTTTTTAGTTGAGACAGAGTCTTGCTCTGTCACCAGACTGGAGTGCAGTGGCGCAATCTCTGCTCACTGCAGCCTCTGCCTCCTGGGTTCCCAAGTAGCTGGGACCACAGGCACGTGCCACCACACCCGGCTAATTTTTTTGTGTTTTTAGTGACCTTGTGATCTGCCCACCTTGGCCTCCCAAAGTGCTGGGATTACAGGTGTGAGCTACCACACCTGGCCCCTAAAAGTATTTTTCATGATAAATGGAGATCATAATCTATCAGGATAGGCTGATTAGATAGGCTCACTAGATAAATTTAGCTTGGACTATGATCATCCTTACCTGGATGCTTTACAAGTACTCCTAAATTAGCCACCACTTAATTAATACTATAAAGTACCCCCCCCCCCAAAAAAAAAGTAATACCATTCTAGCTGGGAAAAAAATATGCTGTATTAAAGTTTTTATGAGGTAGTACATAACTTTTACTGTGCATTTTAAGATGCTAAGTTCAAGGCCAGGTGCCGTGGCTCACGCCTGTAATCCTAACACTTTAGGAGACTGAGGTGGGTGGATCACCTGAGGTCAGGAGTTCGTGACCAGCCTGGCTAACACAGTGAAACCTCATCTGTACTAAAAATACAAAAATGAGCCAGGTGTGGTGATGCATGCCTGTAGTCCCTAAGCTACTAGGGAGGCCGAGGCAGGAGAATTGCTTGAGCTTGGGAGGTGGAGGTTGCAGCAAGCTGAGATTGTGCTGCCACACTCCAGCCTGGATGAGAGACCCTGGCTCAAAAAACAAAAAATGCTAACTTCAGAGTTATATAATTTATATGTGCATCAGATTGGTCTTCAAATCCTTCTTCACATGGGAGAGGGAGCTGCAGCTGACCATTTGATTTTTTTTTTTTTTTTTTTTTTTTTTTTTGAGACAGATTCTCACTCTTGAGATTAGGTTGGAGTGCAGTCATGCAATCACGTCTCACTGCAACCTCTGCTTCCCAGGTTCAATTGATTTCTCCTGCTTCAGCCTCCAGGGTAGTAGCTACGATTACAGGCATGTACCACCACACCTGGCTGATACTTGTATTTTTAGTAGAGACTGGGTTTTGCCACGTTGCCCAGACTGGTCTCAAACTCCTGACCTCAGGTGATCCGCCCTCCTTCGCCTACCAAAGTGCTGGGATTATAGGTGTGAGCTACCTTGCCCATCCTGACCATTTGATTTTGAAAAGCTAAGGGAGCTATTATATTCCCAAATATGTTTATCTGATAAGATGACAGAATGCTGCCTTCCAAGAGAATTGTTTTTTCAAACTTAAAATCTAATGGGTCCAAGGGCAATGGAACCAACAAAAGCCATCAATTACCTTCCCTCTTACTATTGGATTGGTCTGGTCTTAATGGTCTGGAGTCATTCTTTTTTTTTTTTTTTAATGTTCACAAACTGGACTTCTCAGTATTGTCATTAATAGCTATAATAATAAATGCTTACACTAACATTGTTGATTCTGTGATCTCCTTCAGTTCACAACTGGTAATCTTCCACATCTTTTCCATTTCTAAGCTTTGAATTTAATTGCCTGAAATTATACTGTACCATAAAATTAACCATGAGTCATATTTACACCCTAGTTTGCTACAGTTTGTACTGGCATTGTAACTTCTTAAACTCTTAAAAACATTAGTAATTGCCTTTTAAGTTTCAACTTTGCAGTTAAGGCCCTGAAAGTTAATTTGAATAAGAGAAAAAAAAAGATTCTAGCTGAAGTTTGAACTTTATCGCAATAGAAAATACTGTTGTCTATTGGAGGTGCTGATACATAAGCATCTAAATGTCAGGAATACTAGTCTGGACAGGATTCTTCATCTAGATGTTCACCTAGACAGTGTCTTTCACATCTTCATGTGATCCTGAGATTATTTTTTTCCTTTTAATTATGAGGGGAAAAAAGGATACTTGGCATCAGGCTGTCCTTTCTTTCCATAAGCCCATTCTGGTTCAATCTCCAGTCGAGCCTTTTCTCCTTTACTCATAGTCAAGAGAGCTTCATCCCACTAAAGGCAAGAACAAAATAAAAACTAACGGTATTTTGCAAAAAGCACATGCAATATTGCGACAGTCAAGACAAGATTGTATGTTAAAACAAACACAGAGTCTATTACTGGATTTCACTATATTCTAAGGCAGGTGTCCCCAAACTTTTTACACAGGGGGCCAGTTCACTGTCCCTCAGACTGTTGGAGGGCCGCCACATACTGTGCTCCTCTCACTGACCACCAATGAAAGAGGTGCCCCTTCCTGAAGTGTGGCGGGGGGGCTGGATAAATGGCCTCAGGGGGCCGCATGCGGCCCGCGGGCGTAGTTTGGGGACGCCTGTTCTAAGGTAATGTACTTCAGTGAGTCCCTAAATCTTTGTCTTCCCTTTCTTCAATAGGAAAAAATAATGGTATTTTAAGGAGGGATTTTTTAATGTTAAAAGAACTTTTTGGGGCTGACTGTGGTGGCTCACACCTATAATCCCAGCACTTTGGGAGGCTGAGGCAGGCGGATCACTTGAGGTCAAGAGTTCAGCCTAGCTAACATAGTGAAACCCCATCGCTACTAAAAATACAGAAATTAGCGGGGTGTGTTTTGGGGCGGGGTGCCTGTAATCCCAGCTACTTGGGAGGCTGAGGCAGGAGAATCACTTGAACCCAGGTGGCAGAGGTTGCAGGAAGCTGGGATTGTGCCATCGCACTCCAGCCTGGGCAACAGAGTGAGACTCTGTCTCACCAAAAAAAAAAACAAAAAAAAAAAAACAAAAAAAACTTTTTGTAAACCTTAACATGCCATACATTATTAAAATCAGTTTGTTACTGGCATCATCATAAAAAAAATCTGCTATACTTTTACATTACAGGACAAACTTGAGAGTTTATTTTTACTGGAATATACTGGCAAGTATTCAACTAAAATTGTCTTAAGATTACCACATTGTAATAGTAGAGTCATGTTGTTACATAAAATACAATTTTTAAAATGTTACAGCACTAAGGTCTTTTGCAAAAGATAAAACTAACTTTTCAAAGAAATTCAGTAAAAGGCTTCTGGGTAGGCCTCCCTATATTTTTCAAATTTGAATCTTAAAGTTAGTTGCCAAAAACAGTTAAACATGACCACAAGGGTAATATTCCTAATATTATACACTCTGTTGAAATGCAACAATCATTTAAAGCTCAAGGAACAAAGTTAGGCTGGTCACATTTGGAGATTAGGCATTATGTAGACTAGCTGGGCATAGTGGCTCATGCCTGTAATCCCAGCACTTTGGGAAGCTGATATGGGTGGATCACTTGAGGTCAGGAGTTCAAGACCAGCCTGACCAACATGGTAAAACCCTGTCTCTGCTAGGAATACAAAATTAGGTTAGGTGGCGCATGCCTACAATTCCAGCTACTCAAAAGGCTGAGGCAGAATTGCTTGAACCCAGAAGATGGTTGCAGTGAACCAAGATCGCATGACTGCACTTCAGCCCGGGCAACAAGAGTGAAACTCCATCTCAAAAAAAAAGAAAAAAAGAAAAAAAAAAAAAAAAAAGAATATGGAAGACTAGAAGAAACTTGCCAACAGGCAAATAAGTTACAGAAATAGAAAAATGGCCCAATTTGATATATACTTGCTATCAACTTGGTAAAGGCAGAAAACAATTATATGTTTGATTTTTTTTTTTTTTTTTTTGAGACAGAGTCTTGCTCCCTTGCCCAGGCTGGAGTACAGTGGCATGATCTCGGCTCACTGCAACCTCTGCCTACCAGGTTCAGGCAAGCATTTCTCCTGTCTCAGGCTCCTGAGTAGCTGGGGCTACAGGCGCTTGCCACCATGCCTGGCTAATTTTTGTATTTTTAGTAGAAACAAGGTTTCATCTTGTTGATCACGCTGGTCTTGAACTCCTTACCTCAGGTGATCCACTCGCCTTGGCTTCCCTGTGAGCCACGGCGCCTGGCTAAGATGTTTTATATTCTGTATATGATTGTCTGAACCATATCTTAGGACCTACCGATAGTACAGAGAATAATATATTGAAGGTTCTTATAACTGCATGTAAATAGGCATTTCAATTATTGATGTCTGATGTTCTGAGAATAACAATTTAAAACAAACAATGGGCCTAGCATGAAAGCCTGATTCATAGAAGGTGACAGTCAGTCCTGCTCTTTTATCTTCTTCTGTATGCTGTAATGGTCAATACAGGTCAAGCCTAACTTCCCCTTTTCTCAAAGTTTCCTTCTGTTATCTATCACTTATAAGTTAGATAAAAGCATGTAAGTTAGGTTAAAGCATGCTTATGTTTGAACAATTGTCTGGTATTGCAGCCTACGCTGTATGAAGTGAAAAGGCTTCGGAAACAAACTCTGCTTCTATGAGTACTAAAATGGAACATATTTTACCTTTCCCAATTATATGTAAATAGTACAATAGTTATAAAACATTATATAGGAATCTTAAGACAAATTTAGAGGGCCAAACATTGTGACAAAGACTAACTGTATGAAGAAAAACAATAAAAGGGGTACACATGGAAGGGACTAACATTTAAGCCCCTACTGTATTAGTTGCTTAAGTTACGCTCATTTAATCTTCTAACTGCTGAGGTAGGCAGTACTGTCCTCATTTTATAGATAGCGAAAACAGACCCAGACAACTTGTGCAAGATCAGCTAACAATGATTATACCCAATCTGTCAGACTCCAAGGTGTTTCCTTTTTATTATATCTCCAAACCTAATTCTTTATGGCATCATACCACCAACAACATATGCCAAAATATCTACTGATTCATAGGCATTCTTTACTTACTCCTCTGATAACTTTGCCTACTCCGACCTTAAAACTTAAAGGCTTGGCATTTTTCTTCTTCTTTGCACCTGTAAAACAGATTTTCCTTATAATTAATGATATACTCTATTATTAAGAAATTAAGTTCCAATGAAAAAATATAGTGGTTTGATTTCAGAATTACAATAATATGTATTTTAAAAGACAGAAAAACTTACAAAACCAGATCATCCATCATTAAAATTCTAGCTGTAAAAATAATTATATTCTTATCAAAGGGTAGAGGGTAGGACCTATGCTTTTATCACAAAACAGCATACTGTCCTCCTTTTCTATTCAAATACTAAAGCCTTACTTTGGGACATTAACCGGGTTTAGACTGAGACTCCTAATTTTTTGCTTTCCAATGAACAAGAGGTCTTTAGCCAGCCAATAATCAGTGTACTGAAGATCTCTTCCAGGTGTTCTTGGGGGAAAGTACATCTGGATAAAAGTAGATGACAGTTAAGAAAAAGGCTAACTACTCATCTATCTGCCACCCAAGTATTTTGTAATGTCTTTAAGCTAAAAACGTAAGATTACATTTAGACTTACTTGTTTGAATATTAGTATCAAAAACAGTCCCATCTTGTAGTGTTCCTGTATACCAGCAGTGAACAACATCTCCCTTTTTGGGAAAATTGGTTTTATCTCCTTTTTTCAGAACAGATTTTGTATATTTTGGTGGACCCTAAAAACAAAAAACAACATACACACAGAATTATTAATTTGTGTCTTTTAGAAGAATGACACACAATAGCCAGCAATGACGAAAGTCAGTTTAAAGAGTTTGATGGATTTGGTAATAAACTGTTTCCATCTAGTCCACCTCTATGACTTAAACAAACAAAAAAACACTTCAGTGTCTCATTTCAAAGTGATATGAATATCGGTAACTTAAACATCTGTAACTTAATTTCAAAAAACTTCTAGCTTCTTTGGAAGCCAAAATTCTTCTAACAAGATTGTTAATTATTCAGCAAACCATAAAATGATTTCAGTTATTTCCTAAAGTTTTTTAAAAAAATTACTATTTAATTTTTATAAAATCATAAGGCATTAAAATAAGGGATGGTAACTTCCCCCCACAAAGATTTGAACTGTTTTAGCAGCAATAATTGATTTTACCAGGTGTTTTTATTATATCCAATTAGAATGAATACAGTGATATTGCCTGTGTCCCTGATTTGGAAAATAAGTTCACACAATAGATGAAATTGCCATAACAGGCATATTTCCTAGAACAAAGCAGAATTATCAGGGTCTTCTTAAAAAAAAAAAGTTACAGATTAATTTTATCAATAGTAATTCATATATGAGAGGAAAGCAGAGAGATTAACTGTCAAGAATCTGAGGAGGTTAATTTAAAGAAAAAAAGAGGTGGACCAAATTTAAAAGTATCCTCTTTACCTAAATCTATTTGGTTTCTGAATTCAGACCAAATTCAGAGAGATATGCGTTATCCAAATCTGTATGTGGTTTCTAAATTTCATTTAAAAAAAAATAAAAAAAAAAGGTAAGAATTTGTGAGAAAATATCAAATACCTTATGTGAGCAATGAGCAATGTGATAGAAAATAGTGCAAAGGATAGTATAAATGTTGTTCAGTAGCAATGAAACTAAAAAACATGCTTGGCTAATATTAAGCATGAGTTTATACCAGGCTCAATAAAAGGTTTTATGATTACATGTTTATAATGCCTGCTCTCTAGTCCCAAAGCATGAAGACAGAGTAACAGTAAGGGTTAGCAAGGGAATAGACAAGAGGCTTTTCAATCTAGGGTGCTAGGAAAACAGACACAGTACATAATTGGGCTCAAGCTGGCCAGTTAAATGAAGAGGTTTTAAATAAAATGATATAGTTTAGCACCCTCATTAAGTTCTCTCTAGATTGTCTCTAGCTCTTAGACCTTACCATTTAGTTTATTTGTAACTTCTTTTCTTAACTCCTTAATGAAATACTGTCTCCTAAAACCACCCTCATTCTAATTTTCTGGAAGGCAAACTATGTTGCCAGTTGCTTCTGAAACCCTTCAATAATAATGGCTCCATTTACCTTAGTAGCTAGTCATTAGATATAACATTTATCATATATTAATTGTGATAAACTTAAAAAATTTTTTTTTTTTTTTTTTTTTGAGACAGTTTGCTCTTGTTGCCCAGGCTGGAGTACAATGGCGTGATCTCGGCTCACCACAACCTCTGCCTCCAGGTACAAGCGATTCTCCTGCCTCAGCCTCCCAAGAGCTGGGATTACAGGCAGGCACCACCATGCCCAGCTAATTTTGTATTTTTAGTAGAGACGGGCTTTCTCCATGTTGGTCAGGCTGCTCTTGAACTCCTGACCTCAGGTGATCCGCCCACCTCAACTTCCCAAAGTGCTGGGATTACAGGCCTGAGTCACCACGCCTGGCAATTGTGATAAACTTTAAAATTGCTTTCTATGCACATACACCCACAATCATTAATTTGTGCTTTTTAGCCAATAGGAAAAAAATAAAATCATGCAAAATTAACTAGCTTTAATAAAATAAGCATCTATAACTGTATAATTGAACTTACAGTTTCCACAAATATCCAAAAACTACACTCATCAATAGGCTACAACTCTTTACAAGAACTAACCATAGATTATTATCACTGATACTAAGACTGCTAGCAGTGAGTGAGCCAATGAGTGAGCTTAGTTACATATGATCAGAAATGACAAGATTATAATCTGTTCAGTTCTGCTAAGTCAGTTCTTAGCAGCTGATCTTAGCTCTAAGGTTGTCAATTTGCAGAAATGAATGAATCTGCTTCTTTAAACTTTTGTACCAAAATATAAAACCTGAGTTGGGAAAGCTGAGACATATGAACCCACATCCTGTAGCCAAGCCTGGATTAGTTCTATTGCCAGGGACATCACGTACATTAGAAACAGCTAAAAATAATCAGAAAGTTTATTTCACTTAGTCCAACTTGACTATAGAATCAAGATCTTAAAATAGCTTCAAAAGCTCAGAAGGTATGGCAACCTATGGCAGCAATTATAAATACAATGTCAGAAGTATTTCACAGGATAGGCTAATAACTGTAAAGTATCAGTTCCTAGTATTATTTCTGTACCTAAGGGAAACGGCACACTCCAACTAACTGTTCGGCTCATTGAAAGTGGTCATACTCAACCACCCTTCACTATGAGAAATTAGTGCAAATAATAAAGAAATAAATACAATTTCTAGAATCCACATGATAAAATAAGAAAACAGTATATACAGACCTCATCCAGAGTCTCTTCAGACTTGGTTTCTTTGGGTTTATCTTCATTAAGCTTCACATTTTTTACTTGCTCAGACACTTTACTTATACTTTCAGTGCCCTTAAAACGCTGTAAGGAAAATGTTTTAACATCATATTCAGGACAGGCGAAAGCCAAGGAACAACATCAAGATTTTCAGCCTCTCAATTAAATGAACATCTGCACAATAAATATAGGTTATATAATACAATTGTGAAAAAATGGTCTAAGGAAAATATTTTAACATCATATTCAGGACAGGCGAAAGCCAAGGAACAACATCAAGATTTTCAGCCTCTCAATTAAATGAACATCTGCACAATAAATATAGGTTATATAATACAATTGTGAAAAAATGGTCTAAGGAAACTAAGAAGAAAAAATTTTGTTCATAATTTATTTTTAAACATAAATTATTACTTTCAAACTAGCTTACAATATAAATTCTGAAATGAGAACCATGACATTAGAAAGGCCAACTCATACGCAGAGATATAAATACTATTCAAATAACTCCTTAATATAGATTTTTTTTCTGTGGAAGAGACTCATTTCAGAGTGAACAAATATGGGAGAATATCTTAAAATTTATTTTTGTAAATCCTCAGCCTAAATCTAAACCAGACTTTAAATTCATTAGTGAAATGGAAACATTTTCTGTATAACATTTAATATATACAATAAAACAAAAAAACTTAATATACAGTATATGCTAAAGTAATATGGAAATACCACTGCCCTAATGAATTTATAACTTTAGTGGCCTTAAGAATTTGTCTCAATTTAAGCTACAAAATCCAAACCCTTTGAAAATAATAAAACATTCTGCCATATTGCTGATTAGCCTTGCTAGATTTGACAGCTAGTCCACTTATAACAGTTCAGAAAAATTAAAGACGGAGAAGCTCCAATACATTCAGCAAGTAAATGCATTTTAAACATCTTTTAGGAAATAAAATTTCAAAAGTGATGTTCTGCTAACAGAATCTAACAATACTCACCTTAGTTTCAAAAAGATGGTTATAGGCTGTAACCAAGTGGTCCTTGTTAGCGGTCTTGGCCACATTTTTAATGTTTCCTAATAATTTATGTTCTGCAAGAAACTATAAGGGAAAAAGCTAGGTAATCAAGGTAACTTAGCTCAAGTAAGAAATGTCTAAAATTAGAAAATGACCCTTTTATGTTAGCAGTTTTATTTTCAGTAGTACTAGTATTGAAGAAGAAATAAAACCTATAGTTTATACTCTTATTTCATTACAAAAAATGTAAGATAGATTTTTTTCTTTTCTTTTCTTTTCTTTTTTTGAGACAGAGTTTCACTCTTGTTACCCAGGCTGGAGTGCAGTGGCGCGATCTCGGCTCACCGCAACCTCCGCCTCCTAGATTCAGGCAATTCTTCTGCTTCAGCCTCCTGAGTAGCTGGGATTACAGGCACACGCCACCATGCCCAGCTAATTTTTATTTTTAGTAGAGACGGGGTTTCACCATGTTGACCAGGATGGTCTCGATCTCTAGAGCTTGTGATCCACCCGCCTCGGCCTCCCAAAGTGCTGGGATTACAGGCTTGAGCCACTGCGCCCAGCCAGATTTTTAAAAAAATTGAATATTTATCAGAATTATTCACAAGACAGGAACTGCAGTGTTATGTACTGGACAGAGTGGTTCGTCTTAACCTTTTCCCAGTCACGGAGTCACAAAAAATAACATTTGTACAGCAAGCACACTGTGGTGACTTGAGGCAGCTGCTCACTGCAGGAGGACAGTTGGGTGCAGCCTTTGAGAGCCTCCAGCCAGGTTGGGCATAGCTATCCTGAGGCATCTGTAACCTATTCTTGGGAGACTAGGAAGACTCACTGTTATACAAGCAGGTAACACAGATATGTTGAGGTAACTATGCCTAACATCTCACACACACACACACACCACCCCACCCCTCCCCCCACCCCCCGGAGCTCAGGAGTTTGCGACTAGCCTGAGCAACATGGTGAAACCCTGGCTCTACTAAAATGCAAAAAATCAAGTGGACATGGCAGTGTGCGCCTGTAATCTCAGCTACTAGGGAGGCTGAGGCAGAAGAATCGCTCGAACCTGGAAGGCAGAGATTGCAGTGAGCCGAGATTGTGCCACTGCACTCCAGCCTGGGTAACAGAGTGTGACTCCGTCTCCCAGAAAAACAAAACAAAACAAAAAAACCACAAGACTCAGCCATATCTGTAGTGGAAGATTAATAAGGATAAAAATGTAACAATCCATTTGATGCATTTAAAATGGAGTCTGTCACACAGTAAGAGTCTCCACCTCTAGGGTTCAAACAATTCTGCCTCAGCCTCCCGAATAGCCGACATTAGAGGTACCCACCACCACACCCAGCTAATTTCTTTTGTATTTTTAGTAGAAATGAGGTTTTGCCACGTTGGCCAGGCTAGTCTGGAATGCCTGGCCTCAACTGATCCGCCCCCTTTGGCCTCCCAAAGTGCTAGGATTACAGAAAAGAGCCACCACACCTGGCCGAGACTATGGATTTAAAAGATTACTATGTTATAAAAACATTTTTATAGTCCAAGTCTGTTGAAATTGTCCCAAATGGCCCAGTTTTACATTCGATTCCACATTGGCATGATTTGTTTCATAAGACTATGATGAAGTACAGGACTAAGGGATTAATAAATGTTAATGATATGTCTATTCTATTGTTTCATATGAAATACTAATGGCCTTAAGAAAAAATAGTTCCAGCCGGGCGCGGTGGCTCAAGCCTGTAATCCCAGCACTTTGGGAGGCTGAGGCGGGTGGATCACGAGGTCAAGAGATCAAGACCAACCTGGTCAACATGGTGAAACCCCGTCTCTACTAAAAATACAAAAAATTAGCTGGGCATGGTGGCGCGTGCCTGTAATCCCAGCTACTCAGGAGGCTGAGGCAGGAGAATTGCCTGAACCCAGGAGGCGGAGGTTGCGGTGAGCCGAGATCGCGCCATTGCACTCCAGCCTGGGTAAAAAGAGCGAAACTCCGTCTCAGAAAAAAAAAAAAAAAAAAAAAATCCATTAAAATGGGGTAAGCTCCTCATACATGTTCTTTTTCACTCTCGTACCGCCAAACATTGAGACTAGGTTTTGTTACAGATGTTGTATTAATATTTACTCCATTAAGATGTGAATGCCAGGATGATTCAGGAAGAAGGAACTGGAAGTTGGAGAGTTCTTATATCGCCCTGTCAAGACGCCCGTCCAAAATGAAAATAAAATATAATCTCCTCAAAATAACCCAGAAAAGAGCCAAGCGCGATGGCTCACGCCTGTAATCCCAGCACTCTGGGAAGCCGAGGCGGGTGAATCACGAGGTCAGGAGTTCCAGACCACCTTGGCCAATATGGTGAAAAAAAGTTAAGGCTGAGCGCCGTGGCTCAAGCCTGTAATCCCAGCACTTTGGGAGACCGAGGCGGGCGGATCACGAGGTCAAGAGATCAAGACCATCCTGGCCAACATGGCGAAACCCCATCTCTATTAAAAAAAAAAAAAAAATTTTTTTTAAAAGAAAATACAAAAAAGTTAGCTGGGCATGGTGGCATGCACCTGTAGTCCCAGCTGCTTGGGAGGCTAAGGCAGGAGAATCGCTTGAACCCAAGAGGCAGAGGTTACAATGAGCCGAGATCACTCCTCTGCACTCCAGCCTGGGTGACAGCTCGACTCCAGCTCAAAAATAAAACCCAGAAACAATTTTTCTAAATTAAAGTTTAGAATTTTAAAAATTGTATAGAAAACACAAGCAGTCTGCCGCTTTTAAGAAGAGAATGCGGCGTGCACAACTATCTCAGCAATTTAAGAGACGCATGAATGATCTTAATTTCCAAAGGAAAAAAATGACAAAAATAACTTCACTATAGACGGATGGTTAAGATGGAGACTATGCTGACAATGGAGAGCATACAGTATAAAGAATTCGAAAGAAATTTCTTATCTGTTTATAACAATGGGAGACCACTGCACAAGAGAAATGTGCACATAGCTCCCTTAAAGTATAAAGGTGAGAAGGTCATTTAAAGGGTCGATATGTTAAACCAAAACTTAAACCACAACCTACAGATTTTTAAAAAATCACTCGCATTAATGTTAAGTATTTAGTAAATTGTTCTGAAAAGCCAAGTTGGATAACCGTTCCCATAGAAATCTTCACCGCCCTTCCCATTTCCCTAGTAGCCGGCGCCCCGATCCCAGGAGTCTCATCCACACCACTATTCCTCGGCTTCCCCGCCCTGATCCCCAATATCTTCGGGTCCCTTTTTTTCTGGCCTCCACCCCTACTCAAGGATCCCAATGAGGTTCTAACTCTACAACTGCAGCCCGTGTGCCCCAAGAAATCAAGCTGCTCCACCGCCCCAGTAGGGCACGCCGAGGGGCGGGAGCGAGGCTCCGAGGCGCACACTGGGCCGCTGCGGCCTGCCCGGCCATCGGCCGCGGGAAGACGAGGGCGGGGGCACAGAGGAATACGGAATGTATGGGCATCTCCAGGGGGGTGAGGCGTCCCTCAGCCGCACCAGCCCGGCCGCCCCTCAGCCTCCGGTACCGAATCTGAACCGTGGTCCTGCAGAAACTTGATAATGTCCTTCTTGGGCAGCTGCTCACTGCGCAGCTGCTCCACGGTCCACGCCCGCTGTGGAACAGCCGCCGCCATCTTCCCCCGCTGCCTCTGCTTCACTGAGCCCGCCCGCCGCAGTTCGGCATCGCCCCGCCCCCCGAGGCGTGGCGTGGCTCCAGTCGGAGGCCGAGGGGCGGGTCACTGCTCCGGCGGGCGGGATTGGGGCCTGTCTTTGAGTGACGTCAAGGCTGTGCTAGGAGGGCTTCTTTGTTGGGTCCGGGTTAAAAAAACCCACCGCTGTGGTCTCAGCAGTTAACGGAATTGGAGCCCGCTGGGGGTTCTTAATTCTGAATTAGATCCCTTGTGAAGCGGCCTATGATGGTAGCGACATTTATCAGCCATTACTCACTTTTATTACGTACGGCAGCTTTAAAGCCCGGTCTATTACCTGTTAAAAGAAAACAGCCCCTGAATGGGCTCCTCATCTCGTTTGATCTAGTTCTATCCTAAAAATTCACACCTAAACTGGTTGAGTTCTTGTCGATGAAGAAACCCATACCAGCTCTCCCCTTTTGTTTTTTTGAGACGGAGTTTCGCACTGCTGCCGGGGCTGGAGTGCAATGGCGTGATCTCGGCTCACTGCAATCTCCACCTCTCGGGTTCAAGCGATTCTCCTGCGTCAGCCTTCTAAGTAGCTGCAACCACAGGCACACGACACCACACCTGGCTAATTTTTGTGTTTTTAGCAAAGACAGGGTTTCACTGTGTTGGCCAGGCTGGTCTCGAACTACTGACCTCGTTATCCGCCGGCCTCTGCCTCCCAAAGTGCTGGGATTACAGGCGTGAGCCACCGTATCCAGCCATCATCTCCCTTTTAAACATCACACAACTGAAACTTAAATACAAACTGCTCATCCCCTTCCCCACATACAGACACAGAAAGTGTCTAGAACGAAGTTCAGAAACTTGAATAAAACAATTTCTAAAGAAGCTGCACTCAGGATGTCACTTGCTAATGAGAATGACATTATTAAAGCTCGTAACTCTGTGATGTATATATTTTTTCTCAGTACACAAGGAAACAAATTTACAGCAGTTACTCAAAGTTGTCATGTTTAGAGAGGAGAAGTCAGGAATTGACTGAGATAAAAATCTTCGTTAGGGTGGAATAATTGCACACCGACGTTTATTATAATGCTCTTATGTGTAATAAAGATTTAATAGTTGAGCATCAGGACTCTTTACATAAGAAAAAAAATTCTGGCCGGGCGCGGTGGCTCACGCCTGTAATCCCAGCACTTTGGGAGATCGAGGAGGGTGGATCACCAGGTCAGGAATTCGAGACCAGCCTGGCCAACAGAGTAAAACCCCGTTTCTACTAATAGAAAAATTAGCTGGGCGTGATGGGGCGCACCTGTAATCCCAGCTACTCAGGAGGCAGATGCAGGAGAATCACTGGAACCTGGAAGGTGGAGGTTGCAGTGAGCCGAAATCGTGCTACTTACTGCACTCCAGCCTGGGCGACAGAGCAAGACTCCGTCTCAAAAAAACAAAACAACAACAACAAAAAAATTAGGCTTACTCTGGGCATGCTGCCTATGAGTTAGCCCTGCTCTGCAAGAAGCTTTAAAAAAAAAAAAAAATTATGACGAATAGCTGGACCAGACCACGTTCACTTCCCTTTAAACAATGAAAATATAAAAATAAGCCGGCACGGTGGCTCACGCCTGTAATCTTAGCACTTTGGTAGGCCGAGGTGGGCCGATCACCTGAGCTCAGGAGTTCGAGACCAGCCTTACCAACATGGTGAAAACTGGCTCTACTAAAAACATAAAATTAGTCCGGGGTGGTGGCACATGCCTGTAATCCCAGCTACTCGGAAGGCTGAGGCAGGAGAATCGCTTGATCCCAGGAGGCGGAGGCTGCAGTAAGCCGAGATCGCGCCATTGCACTCCAGCCTGGCGACAGAGTGAAGACTCTGCATCAAAACAACAACAACAACAACAACAACAACAACAACAACAAAAACTGCAAGGAATAAGGCACGTTAGAGGCTCAATAACATTAAACTCACAAATTGAGTATTTCATTGTACCCTGGTATATAATATTTTTAAATAAATCTCTTTTATAACACTTTAAGTGATTTATCACGTTAGCGATGACGCCCAGACACCTAATCATCGGAAACGGAACTTAAATTTAAAGCCTGTTAAAACAAAACAAAACACCGGAACTGCAAGGGACCATCTTTTGCGTAACGCTTTATAATGCGCATGCGTCTCCGGAAGAGCTGAGAGTTTCCGGGAAGCCAGCCAATCATATTTCCAACGCAAACTCTGTGGCGGTATTTTCAACTGGATAATCTGGCTTTAGTCCCTCCTTCTTGTTCCAGAGTTTTGTGCGAAGGAAACTGATGGGGATCAGAAGCCTAGCGGTTGAGCTGCTGCTGCTACGGGTATCTGAGTGAAGCCTTTGGCGGTTGTCGCCCTAATGAGCGGACGACAAAGAACGCTTTTTCAGACGTGGGGCTCAAGCATCTCCCGGTCATGTGGGGCTCCGGGTTGCAGCTCCGGAACTGAGCGACCTCAGAGCCCTGGCAGCTCCAAGGCGCCTTTGTCAGCAGCAGCGGAGGCTGAGCCGGAGTCGGACGATGATGTGCTGCTTGTTGCGGTGTACGAGGCTGAGCAGCAGCTAAGTCTAGAGAATGGCGGGTTCTGCACTTCCGCGGGCGCCCTGTGGATTTACCCTACCAATTGCCCAGTGCGGGACTACCAGCTGAACATCTCCCGGGCCGCTCTGTTCTGCAACACGCTGGTGTGTTTGCCTACCGGACTGGGAAAGACCTTTATTGCCGCCGTGGTTATGTATAATTTTTACCGCTGGTTTCCTTCAGGAAAGGTGGTCTTCATGGCCCCAACGAAACCCTTGGTGACACAGCAGATCGAGGCTTGCTACCAGGTGATGGGTATCCCGCAATCCCACATGGCCCAAATGACAGGTATCTTAAACTGGACTAATTTGAAGTAAGAGCTGGGTTTCCAGGGAAAACATGCATTTCCGTGGAAATGGAGATAAAGGATTTCCTGTCCCATGTGGAATAGTTCTCAAGCTATACAATACGTGCATCTTAACGCCCCCCTTCTTAAAACATTCTCTACATTCTCTACAAGCGCAACACTGCTGAATAGGATTCTTTATTCAATCTTTAGAGAGTATTTGCAGCTTGTCATAGTATTTTGAAGTATTATGTGTGTATACCTCTTGGATAACTAAACATGTTTCCTGACCTTCTTCCTGAAAAAAGATTTCTCAGTTGAAGAGTTTGCGTCTCTTCAAACATTATGCCATTTTGTAGGAATTCTCTAAAGACAATTTGGTTGTAGTCCTAGATAAGTGCTTGCTTTGATATTTGTAGCATTCCCATAGATTGTCAAATTGTTTTAAGATTACCAAAGCATGTATGCATTCTGAAAAGGCTAGACTATTTATATATTATGGATAACAGTCTGAAATTTAGAATGTAGAATGTCACTTTTATTTCCAGGGTCTACACAAGCTTTCACCAGGAAGGAAATATGGTGCAGTAAGAGAGTCCTTTTTCTTACACCTCAGGTCATGGTAAATGACCTTTCTAGAGGAGCTTGTCCCGCTGCTGAAATAAAATGTCTAGTTATTGATGAAGCTCATAAAGCTCTCGGAAACTACGCTTATTGCCAGGTAATAATTTTGTTAAATGGTATTTTGTAGTGTAACTGTATTGTTAAAGAGTATTTTGGTGAATAGTTACTAGTGATGGAAGTTATTGACAATATTATTATAAAAAGTCTTTATATTTATCTCAGAACATATGGTGATAAAGAATACCTGTACTTTCTGTCATCCATTCTGATTAGTGTCTCCATTGCCTTTTGCTGCTATTATTGTTTTCTTTTTGTTTTTTAAGCCTAACCAGATAGTGTCAGATACAGATCAAGAGAGCCTAGTAATGGTTGGGACAGTGATCTAAAATAGGGTATGAATGGAGTTTTGGAATTAATAAAGATTAGTAGTGGATATGCAGTGTCTTTTTTTGTAAGCTAGGTAAAATAATGACATAATGTATGCCACATACCTAACACGGTTCGGTGCCTTCCAGTTTAATACGACAGGAATATAAAATAAGATGAAGTAGTGGGAGGTAGTTGTAGATATCATTTAAATCTGCACTGAATGAAATTGACTTTGTTTCCCTTTTCTATAAGGGTGAATTTGCTGCATCTACTTAAGGGCCAGGTCTTTAATATTTTATGCCTAACAGTTTGAAAGCACTTTGTAGGCTATAGGGGATAAAGCTGGTGGGGACTCATTAAAAAATGTTTAGCTGGGATGACACTTAAGATTTGAAAGAGATTAGAGACAAGAAGGCTAAAGGCAGGGATATCTAATGAGGGGAAGAAGGAATGTAGGATGACTCCCGTATTTCTGACTTGGAAAACTGTGAAGATTGTGAGTTCTGGATGCAGAGCAGGATTAGGGGAACATAGAAAGATGGCTTAGATGTGTCGAGTTTGAGGTGTCTATGAGGAATTCAGCTGTAGATATTCATTAGGTGATACTTAATAGAAGTATGGATCTTGCTGGAGAGTTCTGAGATAGAGATATAGATTTACAAATGATAAGCATATAGATGGTAGTTAAAACTATAGTAGCTGATGACAGAAGGAGATTGTAGAGCAAGAATAAAAGGGAAAAGATAGGGAAAGTTAATTTCATTTAGGGCATAGACATGAATTTCACTGCCAGTTTGTGAATTTCTGTAGCCATTTCTTTGGGGACTCTAAATGTTAGTGTATTATATCTCCGTATTAGGGAGAATTGTCATCTTTTTAAATTGTTGATCTTCCTAATTATATTCATGAAATTGATATATTTTTCCACTTATTTGTATTATTCCAAATTAAATTAGTGCAGCATGTTAAAAATTTCCACCTGAGAGGGACATTTAAAAAATTTTAGCTTGAGCCGGGCGCCGTGGCTCACGCCTGTAATCCCAGCACTTTGGGAGGCCGAGGTGGGCGGATCACGAGATCAAGAGATAGAGACCATCCTGGTCAACATGGTGAAACAACGTCTCTACTAAAAATACAAAAATTAGCTGGGCATGGTGGCACGCACCTGTAGTCCCAGC